CACTCTGCTAGCCAGCTATCCGTGGACGCGTCGCGTTTTTTTACGTACCGCGAAATGACCAGTCGCTTAAACTTTACCGAGGTACTACCGCTGCTGTAAATCCATGCGAAGTGATGTAATATGACATGCGCATTATGTTCCGTTGAGCCCGGTGGCTGAATATCGTTTATTATCGCGGGTCGATCGAGAGAAAGCATCATGCAGATCCGGGGCTCGTATACGCGGGCACGCGGGGTAGCACGGTCAACCCTCACTATGGCTTCACGGGAGAGTAGAATAGCGCGTCTTTGAGTTCATACCCGGCTCAATTCACATCTTGGCTGCATGATGGTCTTGGGTGTCTTGAGTCGTGAAAGTAATAAAGAGGCGGCTGCCTCAACGTGACAATACCGTCTGGCAGCGGTAGTATACGCATCGTAGCCATGATGCATTCCGCCTCGTCTCTCCTTCTTCTTGGCGCGACTTTGTTGTCGACCACCTACGCTATCGGTCCCGATTGTGTCAATGGTCCATTGAAAGACAACAAGATCTGCGATGTCGATGCCGCGCCCACGGAACGGGCAATGGCCCTCGTTGCGGCTATGGAAAACGAAGAGAAGCTCGACAACTTGATGAGGTAGGCGTCCATTGCGATTAGCTCATTTCAGTAAACTCATTTTCGCAGTAAATCGAGGGGTGTAGCGCGACTGGGCCTTCCTGCGTACAACTGGTGGGGTGAGGCATTGCACGGTGTAGCAGGAGCCCCGGGAATCAACTTCACCGAACCATTCACGAACGCTACCTCTTTCCCCATGCCATTGCTCATGTCAGCTGCATTCGACGACGACCTCATCTTCAAGATCGCTAACATCATCGGAAATGAGGCGCGTGCATTCGGCAATGGAGGTGTGGCCCCAGTCGACTACTGGACTCCAGACATCAACCCGTTCCGTGATCCTCGCTGGGGTCGAGGCTCGGAGACGCCAGGCGAAGACATTCTGCGCATCAAGGGCTACACAAAGAGTCTGCTCGCTGGACTAGAGGGCGATCAAGCTCAGAGGAAGATCATCGCGACATGCAAGCACTACGTTGGCTACGACATGGAGGCTTGGGGCGGCGTCGATCGCCACAACTTTGACGCCAAAATCACAATGCAGGATCTTGCGGAGTACTACATGCCGCCTTTCCAGCAATGCGCGCGAGACTCCAAAGTCGGCTCGTTCATGTGCTCGTACAACGCTGTCAACGGGGTCCCTACATGCGCCGATACGTACGTTCTACAAACCATCTTGCGCGACCACTGGAACTGGACAGAAAGCAACAACTACATCACCAGTGATTGTGAGGCTGTCGCTGACATTTCCGAGAACCACAACTACACAGATACGCTCGCCGAAGGTACAGCAGTCGCCTTCATCGCCGGCATGGACAACAGCTGCGAGTACGAAGGATCTTCTGATATCCCTGGAGCTTGGAGTCAAGGACTCTTGAACGTCACCGTTATTGACAGGGCGCTCATGCGGCAGTACGAGGGTCTCGTTCGTGCTGGCTACTTTGACGGTGCTGGAGCTATATACGCAGACCTAGGAATCGATGATGTGAACACACCGGAGGCACAGCAACTTTCTCTCCAAGTCGCATCAGAAGGTCTCGTTATGCTGAAGAATGACCACACGCTCCCTCTTGCTCTCTCCAATGGGTCTAATGTCGCCATGATCGGATTCTGGGCCAATGACTCGTCGAAGTTGTCCGGTATCTACAGCGGCCCTGCTCCCTACCTGCGTACTCCAGTGTGGGCCGGTGAACAGCTCGGCTTGAACATGTCTATTGCCACTGGCCCTGTTTTGCAGAACTCCAGTGCCCGCGATAACTGGACAACGAATGCGCTCAATGCGGCAGAAGGCTCTGACTACATCGTCTACTTTGGTGGTCTGGACACTTCAGCAGCGGCAGAAGGCTTCGATCGTACCGACATCAGCTGGCCTAGTGCACAAGTCGAACTCATCACTAAGCTTGCTCAGCTTGGAAAGCCGCTTGTGGTTGTTGTGTTGGGCGACATGGTCGACAACTCTCCCCTACTGTCGATGGAAGGCGTCAACTCCGTCATCTGGGCTAATTGGCCCGGTCAAGATGGTGGACTGGCCGTTATGAATGTTATCACTGGCGCGCATGCAGTCGCTGGTCGTTTACCAATCACGCAATACCCCGCAAGCTACACCAACCTCTCGATGCTGAACATGAACCTGCGCCCCGGTGCCATTAGTCCAGGTCGCACCTACCGTTGGTACGACCAGTCTGTGCAGCCTTTCGGCTTCGGCTTGCATTACACTACCTTTGCTGCGAACTTCAGCAGCAGCGAAGGACTCACCTACGACATCCAGGATATCATGAGCGATTGTTCGCAGATGTATCCTGATCTGTGCGACGTTGCGCCACTGGAGATTGGTGTGACCAATAAGGGTAATGTGACTTCCGATTTCGTCGCTCTAGCTTTCATCAAGGGCGAGGCTGGACCAAAGCCATACCCGCTCAAGACACTGGTCTCATACGCGCGATTGAGGGACATTACTGGTGGTCAGACGAAGATGGCATCACTCCCTCTCACGCTTGGGACGCTGGCGCGGGTCGACCAAATGGGCAACACGGTCGTGTATCCGGGAGAGTACACACTGCTTCTTGACGAGCCTATGCAGGCGGAGCTGAAGCTCACGATAACGGGTGAAGAGACCGTGCTGGACAAGTGGCCTCAGCCGCCGGCGTCTTCGTAGGCGATGAGAGTAACACCGCTATCGTGTTAGATGAATTTCAGACACCTTTGCAGCCTCGCGTATTGCCGACTCCTCCTGTGTGCGATGTTCTTCATGCTGATGAACAGTGATCGAAGGTCTTATGCTCGAGATCTGTCACCAATTGCGTTTATGCGGTAGATGCTTAGCTGGTAAAGACAACGCCTTCGGCTCGAGTTATTGCCTAGGTAATAATTGTGGAGTTTCTTCCTAGGCACAAAGTACTTTATACCTAGGTAAGAAGCATTATAGTTTATGCCTAGGTATAAATGTTTTTACCTAAGTGAAAGGTTATATATACTTATATTATAGTATTTTCTTAGGTAAAAACGCTAATACCTAAGCAGAAGAGGTTATACCTAAGCAGAAAGGTTTGTACCTAAGCAGGAAGGTTTGTTTCTAAGAGGAAGAGTTTATACCTATGTAGAAAGGTTTATACCTTGGTGAAAAGTAGTTTATACTTGGGTTAAAACGTTTGCACCTAGGCAAAAACCGCGACTACGCACTGATCGTCTGCTGCGCCGCTCATGCTCAACAAACGGCGCGTGCGGCATGTGCCTCCTGAGTGCATACAGTCACATGATTTGGTGGCGTAGCTTTCGTGACGCAGAAGCCTGCAGAATCTCGCTATTGTTGCAACACCGTCCTCCCCAAAACCTATCTCATATCGCGATCCACAGTCGACGTCGCAGGGCAGCCTCAATACCAGACTTTGACGGAGACAGCCACACCACTCCAAGTGCCCATGGACAAGTCTCGCGTGGACAGCCAAGTCTACGACGGAGACTTCAAGGTCGACGAGAACGTTCTCCTTAAGTTCCCAAGGGGTACAAAGATCATTTCTGCGCACCGCTTTGGAGTATCATCCTGGACCCTGACCGCCCGAATACATCTTCTATCGCCCGACGGTACCGAGGAACGCTACTTTCTGAAGTCGGCTTCCGAGGCTCATGGTCGTACCTTGATTGAAGGCGAATTCAACGCCATGTCGGAGTTGTACAAGTGGGCACCGTATCTCGTACCCAAGCCGCACTCGTGGGGACGATACCGAGATGACGAACCGGAGGCATACTTCTTCCTTTCACAGTATATCGACATGAGCGACAAAATGCCTGATCCTGATCAGCTGTGTGAGAAGCTGGCTCGTCTTCATCGCGAAAGCACCTCGCCTACTGGTCAATACGGATTCCATGTAACGACATGCCAGGGCCGCGCCACTCAGTCTGTAGCATGGGAGAGGGACTGGACGGTGCTCTTCATCAAACTCCTGCAACATGTCATCGATGTTGACTTCGAGTTGAACGGAGCTTGGAATGAGCTCGACAAGGCCGAGAAGCGGCTCATTCACTTTGTGATTCCGAGACTGCTTGGAGCCCTAACAACGGAAGGTCGGAAGATCAAGCCAAGCCTGATCCACGGTGATCTCTGGGAAGGCAACATCGGTACAGCCATTGACAGTAGTGATGTGCTTCTTTTTGACTCTGCTGCGTTCTACGCCCATAACGAGCTAGAAGTGGCGGATTGGAGACCTTACTACAACAAGATCAGCAACAAGGTATACCTGGAAACCTATTTGAGGTACCAAGAGCCTAGCGAGCCGAAAGAGGAGTGGGACGATCGGAATCGACTCTACAGTGTCTACTGGAATGTCATCTACTCGGTCAACCACGTTGCCCAGGGTAAAGCGATTCGCCAAGTGTAAGTCGAGCGGGAAGTTATAAGGCATAGCTAACACACTAAAAGCGCCTACAACGATATGCTCTTTCTCATCGACAGATACGCGCCTTTTCCAGAAGGCGAGAGACCTCCAACACTACAAGAGGCTGAGATGGCTTCTCTGTCATCTGAGCGGGATCATACTGTGTAGGGCGAGCTGCTTGGAGTGGTTTGAATGCTAGCATAGAGAAATTGTATTACGACCTGCTCTCATATAAAACCATCCTGAAGCTTATCAGTGATGCTTCAGTTTCCAGCCTTGGTCGACATCGATGCAATCGGTCCAGAGACCAGGGAGCCATTCTGAGTTACGCGACCGCTGCGTACTTGTCTCCAGTATATGCCCTTCCATTGTAGCAGGGCGACGCACAGTGCCGACAGTATGCCACTCCACAGGCCTAGAGCCGTAAAGTACCATCCTCTACCAGCTGCGTTCAGCAATGGTTGTAAGACCGCAACTCCCGTCGCGGCCATAGCACAACGTGTAATGCTCGTAGCAGCTGCAGCAGTACTTAGGCTTTAGGGGAAAGAATCCACTAGCAAGGTGCTAAATGTCGTGTAGCCGTAGCAACCCCAGAAACCTTGCAAAAACTGTAGGATCAATAGTATAGCCAGGTAAGCGTGATATTGGACAGTCCATCCATAGCCAATCATGGTCGCTGTCGATATCATTAGCATGGCGTAGCTGTATCTTGTCCTTGCACGCTCGATTGGGAACTTCAGAAGGTCATCACCAGATACCTCATCGATGGTCCAGTCGATGCTGCGAGCAATGGCACGGTAATTGTAATCCATCATCTTTCCGGTGAAGTAAGCTCCGGCGATGGTGCCAATACCACGCGGCAGATACGACAAGCCAATGTAAAGCTCATTCCAATGATATATGTCTTTGTAGATGTCTGGGCCCGCTGCAACGAAGGAGTAGTCCACTGTGTAGAACGATCCGTGAACCCATAAGGTGAGAAAGGTGTCCCTATAGAAGATGATGCGAAAGCAGGCGAGCAAGTTAGACAGTCCGTACTTCCGCTTAGTCGTCTGGCATGGAGCTGCCGCTGATGACACTGGAGTCGCACCCTCTTCATTCAGTCTCTTTGCTGCTTTTACCTTCATTCGTTCTCGTAAAATGCCTACCCAGCTGTATTGCCACCACTTGTATCCAGACTTGTCACTGCAATTGCCGACCATGTTTCGAGCTGTCTCGGGGAGGAGCGCGCCCACGCCGATGAGCAAGACTCCGCCGACAATGAACAGGGCCCAGAATACCCAATTGATGTTTCCACTCGTGTAAGCCACTACGCCTCCTACGACTGGACCTACACAAGTGCCCAGATTCATGGCCATGCTGATGGGGCCTAGCATCTGTCCTCGTTCGCTCGGTACACAGACGTCTGCAACAACGCCAAAGCTGATGGCGTACGCTGCGCTTGCTCCAAGACTCTGTATCGCACGCAGAACTAAGAGGACAGCATAGTTGCGCTCGTTGAGAGCTAGTCCCAAGTTGCCGATGACGTACAGGGCCAGAGTGGCCAGGAAGTAGGGTCGCCGGCCATGAACATCAGATAGTGGTCCGAATATGACGGGTGAAATGGCCTGGAAGATGATGTAAAGAGTGATTGTAAGGTTGATAGCCTGCGCTGTGGTACCGAACTGTGTGCGCAGTAAGGGAAGAAGTGGAAAGTAGATGGTGGCCGTCAAGGGTGACGTGATGGCTGCCAAACCGAGAAGCGGTCGTAGTTGCCGCCGCTGCGACTGCGTGAAGGATGTGTATTCGAGCGGGCTTGGTGCAGGCGCGTCGTCGCACCTGCATTCTTCAGCATCTTTACCCAGTTCTGCATCGCCGAGTCGCGTTGGGGGTGAGGCAGTAATCTCTCCGGACATGACGCCGAGCTGGTGCTTGGGCGAGGCTGGTCGCGCGATGTCCGGCGGGGTAATGCTTCCGACTGACGGCTTCCGGCTCGCGGCCATAGCTCGTCACGCGTGCGCCGGCAAACCTCCACCTTCTCCTCACCCAACCCCAGAATACAAACCCCCCATCCCTGTACGCGCATCTCGTACAGCTGTCGATCACTCCCTTGAGCTGGTGCGCTATGTCAAACGGTGCAGGCCAAGACGTGCAACATGATGCATCGCGACCAATTCCTCCGTCGCCCGCCCCCGTAGCCAGGAAACGCTGCCTGCTGTGAGGTCATCCAGTATGCAGCACAGCGACCACCGGATATTATGAGTTCGTGATGGACGATTGAAAACGAGTGCGCAAGCTGGCAGTTCTCACCATCAAGCTCGCATCGCAATGGCTACCCCAATCTTGCTTTCGGCATGCCTTGCCCTACAAGCAGTAGCCAAAACCGTCAGATCACCCACACCTCCTATGGGATGGAACTCTTACAACACTTGGAACTGCTTGCCCTCTGAGGAGAAGATTCACGAGAGCGCCCACGGCCTCATCGACCTCGGTCTTAGCAACGCTGGCTACAATTTCGTTACAGTCGACTGTGGCTGGAACGCCCATGATCGAGATGAAGAGGGTAGACTTCAATGGAACGAGACCCTTTTCCCATCTGGTGGCAAGGCACTTGGGGTTTATCTCCATGACCTAGGACTGGACTTTGGTCTTTACTCTGGCGCTGGGTATCTACAGTGCGGGTCAGAATCGTTACCTGCGAGTCTGGGGTACGAACAACTAGATGCGGAGAGTTTCGCTGAGTGGGGCGGAGATAGCCTTAAGTATGATCACAAGCCTCCTCAATACGCTTTCGCCCTTGCTAACGTTATGCAGGTACGACAACTGCTACTCTACTTCCAACACCACGATGGTCGACTCTAGCTCCGCAGAAGCTCAATCACCAGCACGTTTCCAACACATGGCGGCCGAATTAGATGCGGTAGACCGCGACATACACTACTACGTCTGCCAGTGGGGAATTGGCACTGACGTCGGTGACTGGGCTGCTGAGGTTGGCAACACCTGGCGAATCAGCAACGACATCTACAATGGCTGGCGCAGCATCTGGCGCATCACCAATCAGGTCGTCCCATACTTCAGGCATACCACTGCTGGTGCATTTGCAGACATGGACATGCTGACGTAAGTAGAATGAGCTGTATCTGGAGTCGTCAACTGACAAGTCTAGCGTGGGCCTGAATGCCCTTTCTGAAGAGGAAGAGCGCTTCCACTTTGGCATGTGGGCTATCAACAAGTCTCCTCTCATCATCGGCGCCGCCCTCGATCCCGAACGTATTAGTCAGAGCTCGTTAGACATCCTCTCGAACAAGGAAGTCATTGCCATCAATCAAGACCCACTTGCTCAGCAAGCCATGTTGGTCCGTCGCGATACTGAGAACGAGTGGGATATCTGGATGGGAAAACTCTCGGGATCTAAGCAGGTGTTGGGAGTCGCGAATTGGAAGAACGACTCCCAAGCCGTGGACTTCGATCTAGCAACACTGGGCATAGCTTCGGCTGATGTGCGCGATGTCTGGGCTGCGAAGGATCTTGGTACTTTGTCTGGTGCCCAGACGGCTGACTTGGCCGGTCATGAGCTGCGACTATGGGTTCTATCCAACATCGTCGCAGCCGCCCCTCTCACCTCCGGCTCGTACCATTCCGTTGCTAATGCGTCGCTTTCCGGACCAGCACACAACTTCTCCTGCGCGTCCGGCGCATGCCTTCCCACTGGCTCGAAGATTGAGTACATCGGCCGCGCCAGCAGCGTCATGTTTGCCAACGTCAGCTCTCAGTCCACTGGCAAGAACCTCATGGGTATCGACTTCGTCAACTACCACTATGCATTTACCACTGCATGGGAATGGGGCGACAACACACGTAACATGACCATCGCAGTCAATGGTGCTGAGGCGAAGCGATGGGCCTTCCCTCTCTCTGGTGGTGATTGGGAGGAAAGTCTGCGACTGCAGATAGAGCTCGACGGCTTTGTGGAAGGTACAGAGAACATGATTGAGTTCCGAGGGTACGGAGACAGTTTTGGGCCGGATCTTGTCGGCTTCAAGATCCTGAACAGCGCTTAGAGTTTCCGCTTGGGTAAATACTTTTTGTTTTCGTAGAATCCATGTGATTTTTACCTAGGTATAATCTACATGCTTTCTACTTGAATATAAACTATAATTTCTACTTAGGTATAAACTATGCTTTGTACTTAGGTATAAACTATTCTTCGTACTTAGGTATAAACTACATGCTTTTCACTTAGGTATAAACTATGTTTTCTACTTAGGTATAAACTACGCTTTTTACGTAGGTATAAACTATTAAGGTGTACTTTCTACTTAGGTATATATTATGCTTTCTTTCTAGGTACAAAGCATACACGTTTTACCCAGCTCTGTCGTTTTTACCCAAGTCTGTCGTTTTTACCCAACCCTTTACTTCTTACCCATCTCTGTCGTTCTTACCCAACCCTGTACTTTATACCTAACTTCGTACTTTTTACCCAACTCTGTACTTTCCACCTAACGCTGCGAGTCTGCGGAAGAGGTAGATGCGAGGGGAGGTGACGCAGGCGCATCGTCGCGGCGGGATAAATCGGCCTCTGGTGTACATCCGTAAGTATGGCCGTGCCTACGCTTGTGTTGAACGAAGGAAGCTCCGTAGTCGTTGATCAGCGTTTCACCCAAGCATCTTGAGGGGCAGGTACCCCGCATGTGTTTACCCGCGGGTGAACAACCACCGAACGTCCATCATTTAGCTGTCACATCGGTCAGGCTCATCGTTAGTCTACAACTAACGGACAACATGACGCCTATTCCGCACACCTCATCGCCGCTAACCACGGGCTGGACGTTCAAGCAGGGCGACCGTTCCTCGACCAACGAGTACCTACCGGCCTGCGATGCACCAACTGAAATCTATCGCGACTTACTCAAGCACGACAAGATTCCAGACCCCTTTCATGATCTCAATGAGCTAGCAGTGCGTTGGGTTGGCGATGAGACATGGACATACCGCACGACCTTCGCTGCGCCTTCCGACTATGGAAAGGCGAACGCGGCCACCACTCTTCGGTTCGAAGGTCTCGACACCTTTGCTTCCGTTTACCTGAACGACGAGATGATTTTGGAGTCTGACAACATGTTCATCGAGCATCAGATCGACGTTTCAGGCAAGCTTCAGGCTGAGGACAACGTGCTGGAAATCGTCTTCGAGTCAGCGCGCAAGAAGGGTCTGGAAGCAGTAGAACAACATCCAGAACATCCCTTCATCGTGCACCAAACAGAGATCTCGCGGGGGCCGGTGCGCAAAGCGCAATACCATTGGGGATGGGATTGGGGCCCTATCCTCATGACATGTGGACCTTGGAAGCCAGTATCGATTGAGACGTGGGAATGCCGCCTATCAGCCCTAAATGTGCAGTACGAACTGTCGCAGGACCTCAAGTCAGCGAAATTGAAGATGAGCGTTGAATGGGAGGGCAAGACTACGGGTATATTATTCATGGTCTCAAAGGACGGAGAAGACATTGACGGTATTCGCACCACCATCAATGATCGCAAGAGTCCCCTGGAAAGTACTATTACCATGGATGATATCGAGCTCTGGTGGCCTCGAGGCTATGGGCAACAAAGTCTTTACAGCATTAGAGCAGAAGCCATTGTGCAGGGTGTCCCGAATCCCATCCACCTCATATCTCAGCAGTTTGGCTTCCGCCGCACTGAGCTTATCAAAGAGCCAGACTCACACGGCACTTCTTTCTACTTCCGCATCAACGATGTCGACATCTTTTGCGGAGGCTCGTGTTGGATACCCGCTGACTCGTTTCTCACACGGCTCAAACCCAAGGACTACCGCGAGTGGGTGAAACTCGCAGCCGACGGCAATCAAACCATGCTGAGGATCTGGGGAGGCGGTATGTACGAAGCGGATGCGCTATACGATGCCGCGGATGAATTTGGCGTGTTGATATGGCAAGACTTCATGTTCGCATGTGCCAACTACCCAACCTACCCCGAGTACTTGAAAAGTGTGGAGATCGAAGCAAGACAGAATGTTAGACGACTGAGAAACCACCCCAGCCTAGTGGTGTGGGCAGGGAACAACGAGGACTACCAAATCGTCGAGCGATACAAACTACAGTATGACCCTGACGACAAGAATCCGGAATCCTGGCTAAAGACCGACTTCCCAGCTCGTTACATCTACGAGCATCTTCTGCCAAGGGTAGTGGAAGAAGAATGTCCAAATATACCCTACCACCCCAGCTCACCCTTCGGCGATGGCAAGTCGACGGTCTTGGGAGTGGATCCTACAATCGGTGATGTCCACCAGTGGAACATGTGGCACGGTACCATGGAGCCATACCAACGACTGCCAGATATGGGCGGTCGCTTCGTATCCGAGTTTGGCATGGAAGCATATCCTCATACCTCCACACTGAAGATGTGCATCAATCACCCGAACGACCTCCATCCTGGCTCGATGGCCATGGACTTCCGCAATAAAGCCATTGGTCATGAGCGACGTCTCGTCAGCTACGTGTCTGAGAACTTCCGGGTGCAGTACTTACTGAAAGGGTATACGCATCTTACCCAGGTGATGCAAGCGGATGCGATGTCGTGGGCTTACAAGTCCTGGCGCCGCCAATGGGGGTCAGCCGGTGATCGCAAATGCGGAGGTGCGCTGGTCTGGCAGTTGAACGATTGTTGGCCGACGATGTCATGGGCTGTAGTAGATTACTACAAGGTGCCAAAGCCAGCTTACTATGCCATCAAGCGCGCGATGCAGCCTATTACCGTTGGTGTACAACGCAAGTACAACAGTTGGACTATGCGTCCGGCTGATCGACTGTGGCAGCGTGATACTGGACACATCGATATGCAAAAGCTGTGGCAGGACGTCGAATACGACCTCTGGGTCTCTAACAGTACGCTGATGGAGGCCGAAGTGGATGTTGCGATACGTTACATCTCAATCGGCACAGGAAAGGACATCAGCACTGAAGAGCACAAGAAGATGCGCATTGCGGCCAATGGAACAACCGAGATACTCACTGACCATGTCGTCAAGGTCGATGATCCACAAGAGCCGGGTGGACCTTTTCGCACATCGAGGGCCGACCCTTTCGTTATCCACGTGTCGCTATACAAGGATGGCAAGCTTCTCGCTAGCGACGTGTCCTGGCCAGAGCCCATCAAGTATCTCACTTTTGAGAATCCAGGCGTACATGTGCGCTACTCGGAAGATAAGCAGACAGTGTTCGTTTCCTCAGCGAAGCCAGTCAAGGGCTTCGTGTTCGAGGAGGACACTGAACGCCGTCTTAGTGATAACGGGTTTGACCTAGTACCTGGGGAGACGAAAGAAGTGCATGTGGATGGTTTTGCAACAACGCTGAGGTGGAGATATGTTGAGATGTGAAAGCTATGATCTGGTCCATTGTACTTCAGTTCAGCTAGTCCCTCATGATGCATCCCAAAAGCTGTCTTCGGAATCACTGTCTTCATCTGCAGAATCAACAGGTCTCTCACTGACTTTCCAGAATGCTGTTGGTCCGGCTGGGCCATGACTGAATCGTGTACGAAGTTAGCGCACATTTCACGGCATTTTGTACATCGATACCACTTACGCGTCAAAGTCCTTGTCAAACCACGTTCCTACCACACCGCGTGGGCAGCGTAACCCACCAACCTGAATGCCATCGCTGCGCCATCGCTCCTCACCGCTGTCGCAAAGTCAGTAATACTCTGCTCATTATAGTTCCACAACCCTCTGTACTTACCCTTGGAATACCGAGATGGTCTGCCAGCGAACCTCTCCTTCCGGTGTCAGGCTAACGCTACCGCGAATACCAGAGTTGGCATTTGGATCCCAATGCGCATCTACGGACTTCGATTTGCCTCTGAAATGCACAATGGGTAGCTTTGAGTTGTCGAAAGGCCCCGGTGCTGTGACATCGGTGATACGCAAATCCATGATGATGTGTCTGATGGCTTCGTCGGTGTTCAAAGCATCTCTAGGCTCGTCGGAAGGAACTTTCATCGCCTCGGTGCTAAAGTTGTAATGGTACAAGTCGTTGTAATCGAGGAAACATACGATCTAAATGTCGTTAGAGAGAGTTTGAGTGCCCGAGCGAACCAAACCTACACGTGACCAGATACCCTCCACTCCGTATGGATCCTTCATGTTGAGGGAAATGTCCGGTTGCTGTACCAACGCCATATAGTTCCGTCCGGTACCCATCTGATGAGCGTCTCCCGGAATCAAACCATCAAGTGGAGCGAACCATGGTGGCCGGAGTTTATTCGATACGGTATGCGTGCAGTAGCAGGAGTTATAGCCGATGACAATCATGATGCTTTCGATCATCTCCCAATCCACTCGCATGGTGCCATCGTCACGGAAAGGACCCCACTCGTTATTATCGGTGTAGTTTCGTAGGTCGTATACACGCGATCTGGCATACGGGTTTGTTGAGAGATCTCTTCTTCCAGCGTTAGATGGTGGGAAGCCGAACAAGCTATGCAGTTTTGCGCTGAGTTGTCGGCTCTCTTCATCCCCGGCTGGCCTCTGCTTTCCTGTACCGGCACGGTCGAAAAGCGAGGAGCGACACATGAAAGCATCGTGATTCTGTGCGATACGCTGGAACTGGTCGGTCACTAAGCGCTTGTTGTGAGTCACGCCATAATCATCAAGTGACATCGTGGCGATCAGCTCGTCGACGGTCGTTGCAACGAATGTAAACTCTTCTCTCTACTACTTCTTAGCAAAATGAGCTGTTCATAACAACTGGAAACATGCCTTGAGATCATTGTTGGCAGAATCGAGGATCTTTTGACTTCTCACAACCCTCTGCATCGCTCCTACCCATTCTGGCTCAGGATCGGCCGGTCTTCGGCGTCGAGGGTCGTCCTACCACAGTATTAGTCTCCTCAACGTACGAAGTAAGCAAAAGATATCGCATACGAAGTGCTTCAGGTACAGAGTTTTGTAAAGCCGCTTGTTCTCCTTGATGAATTGGTTGAAGCCTCTGGACGTTTGTGCACATGCCGCCAGATCGTGAGGCTCTATCTCCTCGAGAATTCCGATCAGTACATCATAACACAGATCCAGTAGTTCTATCATGGCTGTTTTCGAAGGGTTTGAACGCTCAAAGCAGTTGGTAGCGAAGGTGGAAAGCGGAGACAAATCAAGGGTCCAAGTGGTGACGATGTGGGGTCCGGAGATAAAGCCTATCCCCGTATAGTTCGCAGCGGGCTGGCGCCACTCTAATAATCCCTCGGTCTCTGAGGATTGCGCGTTACTTGGTGCTTGCTGAGATGCTTGTGTAACATGAGAATGTCTGTGTAACAAAAGGAGACGCCACTGTCTGGAGCGACAGGCTGGACACCTGCAAACGTCACAACGGGCGCTAGCGCACCTTTTTAGTCAGCAGGTAGCCGGAACGCCGAAATCCATCAGTTTCTGCCGACTCTCCAACTGATATTACGCATCATGCAATTTGTCAGGACGCAGCTAAAGTTGCACAAGAGAGGTCACAACATCACCCGAGAGGAAGACATGTTGAACATGAAAGCAATGCAATTGGGGTATCTAGGACAAGCAAACTACCACTCTAATCGATCATCACACGTCAACCGTACATCCCACCTGTCGTCTCCCTTCCACACCTCACCACCCTTGTTGTTCTTGGCGACTATCCGCCTAAGATCGCTAATCATACCACCGGGTCCCGAAGCGAACACCTCGGTGCCTCCTCGTACAGTGCCAGCAACGAACTCTGACACTATAGTATCTAGGTCAGGCCTGGCTTGGATGTGGTTGAGGCCCAAGTCCGACTTTGCGACACCATGAACTGAGAGGGCAGAGGATGCGTCGGCAGATGAAGAGTCAGAGGCGGAGTTGATCTCCTTGGAGCAGTCGTTGGGCGCGGCCTTTTCTGAGACAGTGAGATCGAGGTTGGCTTCCTCGGCGGCGCGGGTGACGTAGATGTGAATACCGGTTCGTAGATTCCGGCACTTGCGCTTGAGGGTAGCGAGTTCCGGACCGACCCAGTCGATGTCGCTTCTCCGGCGTATGCTCCAGATGAGCGTCATGTGGCGGTCGGGCGACTGTGGGCTTGAAGCGAGGTCAAGGAGTACGGGGAGGACGTAAGCGATACCGGTGCCGCCAGCGATGCAGAGGATGTTTGAGTTGGCAGCGAGACCACGCATAGTACGCTCGCCGTATGGCCCGGTCATGACGACAGAGAGGCGGGCGTCAGCCATTAGGCTCTCGTGCGATTCTTGGTGGCTTGACATGTTCGCGATGCGCTTCATGGACAGGTCGGCAATCTTCTTCGTCTCTCCGCCCCTTGCGCGGAAAATGTACGAGTGGCGCTGGGAGTCAGCACCATAAACCGGGCGGCTGATTGGTGTAAATGGGTGGGACTGCCAGATGGAGCTGTCTGGGAATGTGAGGTAGAAGTGCTGACCAACTGCCCAGGCATCTTGAGGGTGGTCGAAATCCAGTCGCACGACATCGCCGTTGACCTCGTCCTTGAAGAGCGCGACGTTTGCAGAAGCGGCGCGGAAACCCATATGGCCGGAGGGCAGGAAGTTGTAGTGAAGGAGTGCTGACCTGGCGAACCGAATAGCGCGGTCGACGAACCAGACGAGGAGTCCGGGTAGGAGGAAGACCTTCAGTTGCTCCCAGTGTCCCCAGCACGCTCCAATGTACACCATGGCGAGGACGTAGTGGGCCTTGCGGAAGAATTCGTAGCCAGTGAGTCGGATGCCCCAGGGAGTGGAAAGGACAACCATGAGGAGCAAGAGAAGCATTGCGACAATTCCCCAGATGATGTACTCTTGGGAGACCAACTCCTTGATAACTTGTGGCTGGGGTTGATAGAGCTTAAGCTCGATAATCAGCCAGCCGATGGTGTGGAGGGTGGACTGGATGAAGATGACGTATCCCAGCCAGCGGTGGAGGAAGTTGAAGCTCTGGTATGGCAGGCCAGTGACGAGCGACAAGATAGACTCGCGCGTCGAGAGCATAACGGAGAGGGGGGTAAGGGCATATGCGATGACGCCAATGCGGTCTGACCATGGTCCGAGACTGGTACGGGTATTGTAGACGCCGGGATACTTCTTTACGGGCGTGATCCATTGCTGGTAGACGATGCCGATAAAGGTGAAGACGGTCAGGTACGCCGTCAAGACGATAAGGGTCAGGACCTGGGTGCGAGTGACGCGTCCGAAGATTGGTCGCGCCGCATCAGGCAGAAGGTATTGCCGTGCGTATGATGGAACTGCCCGTTGAAGTCGTTCGAATGCGCTGCGTCTCTGCGGTACTCCTTCTCCTGCTTCTGTTGGTAATTGCACGCCGGATGGCTGCGAGGGCGCAAAGTGTCGGCCAACGCCCCACACCAGCAGAATGGCGCCGATGGTTGCCCATACGATGCCCATGTAGAGCATGCCATTGTCGTGACTGCGGTAGACAACGTCGAGGTACAAGCAGGAGCCCGGGTCGCTGGTGCAGGGGACGAGGCGATCTGCGTAGCCCCAATGCGGCTCGACAGCGCTCGCCTCGGAGTAGTTCTGGATGTGCGCACGCGCGACGAGCATGTCAGCGGCCATGGTCAAAGCAAGAATTGAAGATGCGATGCGTGCTGCATGTTTCGGGGTGGAGTGCGCCGCATATGTATATGACCTATCGCCGGCCGGGCATTGCACACCGGAAACGTGGTGAGCACGTTTCGCAAAAACGCGGGCCAAGGCTTCGAGAAGTGGGCGGCGACGCTTAGGCGGGTCTTTGGGCGGTTCCCGCTCTCTTGGGGCGATCAAAGTGGCTAGTGCGAGTGTGTTTGAGCAAGTTCCCCCATAATTCGCGGCGCGATTGCCGGCTTGCTTGCTCGGGCCAGACTGTCGTGAGACGGCATCTCGTTCCTACATATCATGGCTTCGCATCTGCAGTCGCAGGGTCTGGTCCGACGTCTACTATATCATTTTGACAGTCCTGTTCCGTGGTTCAGCCTCTGACATCTATCCATCCAAACTTCGCAGCCCAAGAACATCATCGCCATCATGCACGGAATGTCAGGAATGGCCGGAATGGCTCCCAACAGCACCTGCGTCACAGAGGTGTGCAATTCATATCTTGTCAATTCGATATCACGACTCACTGTGTTTAGATGCTGTGGAATTGGCGTGTCGAAGACGCCTGCTTCCTGTCCTCATCATGGCACGTGACCAACAACGGCATGATGGCCGCCAGTTGCATCGGCGCCGCTCTCCTAGTCGTCTGCCTCGAATTCCTGCGAAGAGTCAGCCATGAATACGATGCTCTGCTCCTCCGCCAATTCCAGCGCCAACTCAACGCACAACGGGCGGCTCTCGCTGCTGCGACACCCACCAACTGCTGCGACGGCCCCATCTCGACTCTCGGTCTCCAACACGCTACCTTCCGCGCCACGGCACTCCAACAACTTGTTCGCGCTTCTATTCATGGCTTGACTCTCGGTCTAGCGTACATCATCATGTTGCTGGTCATGCACTTCAACGGATACATCTTCATCTCCATCATACTGGGTGCTGTGTTGGGCAAGTTCTTGTGCGACTGGATGGTGGTCAGGATACCGTATGGTCAGGTCGATGAGAAGGACACTAGACGCTCTTCTATCGAAGCGGCAGGGCCGACTGGGTGCTGTGCGTAGAGGGGAGCATGAGCTGGTTGCGGCGAACTTTGACGATTAGATACCCTATGATTGCAATACTGCGAATGAATACTTATTTCTCCTTAATCTTTCTCTGAAGAGCGTGAGCAGCTGCTTCAATTTCGAAATGCCATGCTACATGTCCCAACAGCTCATCGGAATTCACAACTGCACGTACATCGCTCTTGCCGCGGAAATGTGTAGAGCGCACCTGCCAGTACATCAACTGCAGGGCAACCCCATACAACAAACTTGACCAATCGGAGACTCTCCGTATAGATGATCCACGTGTGTAATTCCGTGGGATGAAGCGCCCGCATTTCCGGATGACAGCCATGGTGGCAACCAAATACAAGGACTTCTCGGCCCTACTATTGATACCGCAATCAACTACCTCTGCAAGTCTCGCCCAGTGGTCTTTTTCGTTGAGCACCTTATGGATCCCGACCGCTGGGACCAGGTCACAGCTAGGAAGGGGTGGGGTTCTGTGGACCAAACCCCACAATAGTGTGGATAGAAGATCCAAGAGCGTTCTTTTGCGCAAGTTGTGGCTATGGGCCAAGTATCGATTGAGGGCTTGGTTCGGAGGTAGTGTCAAGGTAGCGAACGCCAGGTGGCGAGTGACAAGCTGTCACTTTACAGATGACGTCTTTCTTGAATGAAGAGGTTTCGCGCACATTATGGCCAAGTGTGGAGGGCGGTCGATGATCTGAACCGTCGATGCTGGCCAAGTCTTAGATAATCTGACTAGGTAGTGACGGTCCAACGAGCTGTTAGGCTGCTGAGACACGTATCGTTTTATAGCAATCTCTGAGGAGGCCGCACAAAGAGCGCTTCGTGAAGTGATGTTGTCGTGAGATGCATGTACTGTGCGTGGCCCTGAGCCCATCAAGGTAATTGCTCGAATTTCAGGGTTGTCTACCACCACATCTACGGAGAAACGAAACAACCTGTAGTCTAGCTTGTCTTGAATCAAATCACATTTGGGTCTTGACGTGATGTAGACTTCTACGTCATTTACTTCATCTTTCTCTGTGGGTAGGTGTTCACCTGTTCACTGGAAGGCGTCGAACAGCCGTACACGTCTGCCAACAACGGATCGTACTGAATTCTCAGCCTAAAAGTGCTCTGTTGAACAAAGTTACAGCTTTCGGTTGCTGCAGAAGTCGTCCGGCTTGTCCCGATTCGTGGCAAGCCCTTTTGATGCGTTTCGCCTTTTTGACCGAACATCACATATTCAGACATATGAACGCTGTAGACTTCGTCTCTATGGGAGCTTATAGCATTGTAGCTATTGCGAAGTTGATGCTCGCGTTACTAGAGTTCGTCTTGACGCATGAACGGGCGCCCTGAATCGTACGCAAGATTCGCTTTGCTTTGTCATACGACCGTGTAGCCCGGACTGACCCTCTCGGTATCGTCATCTGGAGCT